GCCTGATTGAAAAGAGTTTGAATTCTGGGCCCGGACTTGTGCCCAGAAAATCAAAATTTACTGCCAAAAAAAATCCGGGCACGCGCCCGGGCATGTGCCCGGATTCTACTTTGTATCCCCTAAGGGCGCGTTCACTTAAGGAAATTCTGACCAGAAATCACATTCTATAAATTTTTTAATGCAAAAATGAAACATACACCACCAAATAGACACTTTAAATTTTGCAAAATGTGATTTCTCCCCAGAAATTGCTTAAGTGAACGCGCCCTAAATGTCCTCCTCCTGGCATAGAGGTCTGTTGTGATGATGTATCTATTTTGGTTCTTTGTATTTCTCATATGATCCGAACTTAAAATTGGCATGAGCCACTTCCGGAAAGGTTGATTATCACCAGTTACTCGATGTCTCGCGTTCTCTGTTTGAATTTGGTAATTGGATGCTTTGAGGGATGCTGCGTCAACTGCGCGGATGCTTTGATTTTTGAAATCCGTCCTGCCGGCGGGCGGGAAACGGGAATCACAAGTCTGCTGATACTCACGGATGCTCTTACCGCAACTAGCTTCAATCCGGTTTTGCACTTAATGGTTCCGCCTGTCATTAGAACTTAGAGGATGTCACGTCATGCGACAGGGAGACTGTCACCTGCGCATACTATCAGCCACACTGCCAGCTGACATGTACTGTTACATCTGGCACTGCAGTCTGTCGCGCCATTGCTTCAAATTTCTCGTCTGTTAGCGACGGGAAGTTCCCCCCCCTACGCATCGACATGTCTCTACGAAAAGGACGACTACAAGAAGAAGACGCCTCACAACTTAAGCTCGGTCCAGGTGAGTCTGTTGGTCGAATCTCAATTCAACGAATACATTGCTTTCAAGAGATTAAACACGATCGCTATACATCATCTTGGAAATCCAAGAATTTGATGCAGCTGGTTGTCTATCGATATCTGAAGTGAAGCTGCTACTTGAGCAGCGTGACAAGCCAGCGGACACGGCGTGAATCTCATTCTCGTTTATTTAAAACATCAAAAGTGATACGGTTTTCGTAATATCTTCACTGACTTTTCGGGCTGGTTTTCTTGTTTTGCGACTGTTCGATCACCTCTCACTCTTCCAACCTACAAATTGATACCAACCACAAAATTACAAAAACTTGACCTACTGCTCAGCGTTTACAAGAAGACCCAAGAGTTTGTGAATCAATTTGCGCGATTCAGTACAACAGACTCGGCCCAAGCCGCCCGTCAGTTAAGTCGTTCCTAACCTACATCGCTGCTCCATTTCTTCCTAACTTGATTTCTTTGATCTGATAGAATTTTAAGTAAAGACCAGACGTTAAAACCCTTTGAATTGGCTCAGCTCGCGTCGCTTTGCCCGGAGGAAGCCGAGGAAGCAAAGAGCTTGATTCCAAGGTGCGTACAACTACCTTAAGAACATGGTGTACTCTTTCAATGATGAGTGGCGTTTGTTTACTTCATTCTTACCATCCTACGACGGGTTCGATAGTTTGGCGGCAAAAGATGATGACGCATTACAAGCCATCTTGAACGAAATCTCTGGTCTTAAGCGATATCAAGGTTGAAAGTTTAGGTACCCATTTTTCTATGTACGATTCAAGCGGTAGGGCAAGGGTAACTATCACTGCCGCTGGAAATTTCGAACTGCGACCGGAGAGATGTCGCCATTGCTCTACAACTTCCGTTGATGTCCCCATAGTCCAGTTTTCTTATGTTGCGTTCGGGCCAGGCACACGGTCATATGGTGTAGCGGTAACACGGACGACTTCTAATCTTGTCGAAGAAAACGCTAGTTACTAGGTTATACCCTCAAGCTCTTAAATTGTAATGTAAATGTACCTGCGTAGGTGTTACATCTTGTATATGAGTGTCAGCCGGTCGGTCCGTCTGTAACTGTCATTGGGACGAAGGAGATGAAACTCAATGCAAGATGACTTCCGATCATATTCTGGTTATATGCAGTCAAGACAGCGGTTTATCTCATCAACAGGACTGTCTCATCATCACTTCTTAAAGGGAAGACTCCTTTATGAACTTGAATACCAAAAGAAGCCCGATATGTCACATATCAAAGCGTTTGGTTGCTTAGCCTATACTTGTTAGTTTCAAAGGATTAATTGATTGTTTGATAGGAAGAACACCAATGGTGAGATGTCAACAGGCAGCTTTGAACAACGTCCAATTTGCTTTACACAGAACTGGGAAGCAATCTTTTCAAATGTTTGATGCTTGTCCTCAAATTATTAGAGCATCACCACCAATGCCAGGTAAACCAGCCTCAATTAGGAGGCTTTTGCAGCCTGTCAGTTGGTAGCTGTAGCAGAGAAAGCTTGTGGCTGTCACCCATGGCATGCATCTTGCATTGCCGCATGCCCAATTGGTCTAAACCCTGAACAAGTGGTATCAAAATAGGGAAGGGGAATGTTGGGAAGACTTCATCAATGCTTGATTGGTCAAAGATAATGTCAAGAGTGTCAAAGATTACATCAAAAGTGGTCTTGCATATTGGACTATGTAGCCAACCAAAGGTCTGATATGCATCCTGTGTGTGCAAGAACATCAGTTTACAAGACATTTGATCAAGTCTTGATAATTTGTTGGGGCTAAAACTGCTCTCAAAAGATTGGTGAAGTGAACACCAATTGCAAAGTCACTTTTATACTTTGTGCCAAGATTCATCAAAATTTAATTCATAGCCTTGGTGGCAGAGCAAGATAAATCTGGTATTGGGAAATTCTCCCACAGGAATGATAGTTGCTCTCAACCTGTGATCCGGAGACAATTGGTTGACCTATCCACCTCCAACCCCCAAACCAGGTGATCTATTGGAGCATTGGGGGGCTCCAGAGGTCTGACCAACCTCTGCACCCGTTGGATAACCCGCCAGATCCCGGTCTTGGATCACAGGTTGAAGTTGTCAAGAATTCAGAGATCCCCAAATTTTCAATTCCTTCTGTCAATGTCAGGGTGGACTCAAGTTAACTTTTGGATGTACTGTATACTGAAAGACAAGTCATGGATAGTTTACAAGAATTGATCAACTCTGTTTGCTCCTCTTACCAGCCTTCAACTAGATCTGTTGGAATGGTCGTAGAAGCATACACAGACATTTGGGTCAATAGAGGTCTGATGCGGTTAAATGTAGATGTTGAGCAGGCAAGTTCAGTGACTGGTAGTAGCTTGAATGAACAAAGCCAACAACATAGGTTCACATAGCTTGAAGCATATAAAAACAAGGTCAACAACAAAATGAAGAAAATTGACAGTGTAAATCACAGAAATTGAATGTGGTGGACTTGATCATCATTTCATTTCCATTTCTCATTATTCAGTTGTTTGATGACTGGATTCCTCTCTTGTGGTGGTTTCTCAAAGTTGCTGTTCTTTTATGTCTCATTCATTGTTTTACAGGAGCTGGTAAGAAAACGACGACATCTGATGTCATGAAAATCACATCTCATTGCAGCATACTTTTAGATACTTTCACAAATTGATTCTTTCATATTTGAACAAGTCTCTATTACTTCAGCTTACTTTGGAGTTTTGAGTAGTGTGAGAATCTCAGGTAGACTCCAGAAGATTGTTTGGGGACAGTTTTGTCTGAATAATCCAGCTGGTCCTTGCATATTCTGAAGTTCCACAGGATTCCAGTGTGGACACATGCAGCTAAACATCATTTCAGTTGAGTCTTGGTATTTGGTTTGGGGTGACTGTGGCCCAAAAGTTGATATTATATTGAGAACATTCTGAAAACATCACAAAAATATATTATGGTCCCCGGATGACCTGGCCTGCCAGTGACTTGTAATCCAATGCTGCGATAACCCATTTTATAGCCCTCTTGATACTGATCATTCATTGCCCCAATATGACTTACTTCTGATGTGTGATGAATAAGTTATTGAGTTGTAGAGATTGATAAAATAAGCTTTTTGTCATCTAAATGTTGCTACATGTGTATATGTAAGCACAGGACCCCGGAATGCGCGCCTACTAAGGGTGGTCTAGTAGAAAAGTACGTTTTGAGCTCCCACAGAGCTCCGTACCTGCTAAACTGCTAAGTACTTTCCTACCTTCACCCATAGTCTTAACAGGGGCCTAATCATTCCTTGGACATTCTTGAGGTGTTTCACAAGCTTTTGCAACTGCTTCAAACGCTTGCAAGGTTGGCAATAACCAAAGTCAGAAACGTGCATTATCAATTAGAGCTAGATATAATCCCATGAAGGGTAAGTCTGAGGGAGCTCAAAACGTACATTACTAGTAGACTACCCTTAGTAGGTGCATTCCGGGGTACTGTAAGTACCAAATCCAAAACTTACATCATTTCCTTTATTTCCTTATAACCTTTTCACCAAGCCTCCGTTACTATATGTTTAAAGGCTGCACATCATGAAATGGAACATTCTGCATTGATCAAGCTCTCATCCATCCTGATCTGACAAGTTTTAACATATGTGATTAGCTGAAAACCTCCAAATTCAACAATTTTTGGACATTTTCACGTCTAATAATGATTTCTCTTCTACCAAAAGATCATCCTAAATCAATCCAATCATAAGAATAACTATAAAATCAATCTGAAAAACTCTTGGCGCCATTACTCCCTCAATGACAATACTAAACAGGAATCAATACCATAGTACCCTTGTTTACCAATCCATCCTTGAATTTCCTTCTTTCTTGAATAATTCCACTCCTCCCTTATCAATGTTCGTGATTAAAGTTGCTGCTGACTGATTTTATTCTTCTCTTTCATAATTCAACCTTCTTGAACCCTTAAAACACCTAATCTTAACCCTAAATCCATGTTCCAACTCTTATACCTATATTTTTGGATTTTTCTTCAATCCTTTTAACTTTATCTTTCTTATTTCATTCTTTTCATAACAGTTTCTATTCTTGCTGATAATACCTAAATGTCTTTCTCCATCAATCCCTTTCTTACCAATTCTGTTTAATTTATCTTTACTCTTTTGCTATTTTTATGATTATGTTGAATTTTTCTCTTCTTGTAATTGGTCTTATCAAATGATGTAATTAATATATGATTGAAATTATAATGAAATGATGATTCATAATCAACTTTGAGACCCTTGCGGACTAATATCCTCAATAATAAATTTGATTCTCACCAAAACACAATTTGTCACATAATGTTTGATTTTTTTGATTATATAACATATACCAATCACCACACCACTCAAGGATCTTCTTCATAGCAGTTCACAGCGTCCTGCCACCGCTTGAACTCAGAAACTGGGGTTGTAGCAGGTTGTGAAATCAGTGGGGATATCAAATTTTACGCCCCACAGCCCAAGCTCAGAGAGGCATGTAGTGGCTGTATCAGGTCATGCAACATTGGTTTACATTAGTTTTTATGGTGTGCTTTATAAAACTCCTAGCAGTTATTTTTATTATGTGCAGTCTTTTTTTACATTGTGTTTAAAAAACTGTTTGTTTGGATAGTCATTTACATACCGTTAGCCACCCCATAGGGTGTTGTTTGTTGGAGGCATAATTCAATTAAACACAAGTTTTAGCCCCTTTACTCTAGTATTGATTCAGTAATACTTCTGTAAGTACAATGGTGATATTTCCAAGTATTACATTATATGAAAAAGGTGTAATCAGTCCTAATACAAAATTCTCAAACATTCCAAATTGGTTTAACCCAAAGATAGATGAGACTAGGTCAAATGCCTGGCCATCTCCAATGACTCATCCAGTGTGGCCTTAACAACTATCAGCCGCATTGCTATTTGGCATTTATGACAACATGAGCAGTAGAGATTATCCCTTTTCTTTACCTTGTGTATCTTGTATCCTGACCTTTGCTCATGAACTGTGATTTTGTCTTACTGTGGTTTGCAGATCTGATGACTTTAAAAACCCCCTCTTGAGTCTCCAAAAAAGAAACCTTGAAGTGTCTTTGATGGACACTAGGAGTGAGCTCTTAGAAAGGAGATCACAGTAAGAAGTTAGCATGAGATTGCCAGGACAAGCAATGTGCTAGCCTTTTGTGTCACATGTTGTTGCAGCACCTTGCTGCACCACCAATTTCAATATCCTTGGTTTTCAACCCTTTGAAAGCAGTGTTCAAAGGTCTTGATATGAGGTAATTCTCAGAGAAGAAAAATATTCCAGATGAAAACTTGGACAAGGTCCTCCAATGATGACTTGGATTTCTTAACCTAATTTCTCAACCCAAGGCATTTATGTTGGCAGTGCTGTTTTGTTTACCATTTTTGAGATCATTCTCTTTCCCATTTGCCTCCATGAGGACACACAATTCCCTCAGATGAGAGCTATATATAGTGGATATTGTTATCCAATTCCCACTCCTTATCATCCTTCCTCAATGGTTTCAAAAATCTCCTCAAGGTATCCTCACAATTTCAGATACTCTTTCAAAATTGACTTTTGATACTGAGAGCATCCACAGCATATCATAAATTTGAAAAGTGTGAGTTTCAAATAGTTGGCTGGGAGGATCAATTTGGCCTTCTAATCTTCTTGTAAACATTGAACTTGTCATTTTTTGCACCATCATTCTGTGTACAAA